ACACAATGCATAAAAAAATTGTCATAGAACTTATAGAATACAACAATTTTTTTATAAATTAATTTTTTTCACTTCCAACATCAGAATTATTAAACAAGAGTTAAGCACTCTTTGTAATTATATTGCATTATATGTACAAATAATGTAAATAGAGATATTTATGTGAAAATTTAAAGAAAGGAGAATGAGAGAGATCTATTAATAAATTATTGTATTATTTTTTATCATGTTGAATTCTCTTCTACAATTAAATAATGCATTGGATATAAATACATATTATTTGCTTATATATCTTCATAATTATATGTCGTGGATAATTAGTGTTATATAATAACGTTAGTATACGTATATTGTCTTGCTTTAATTTATTAACTACAACAACAGCTGATAATAATTATTGTTATATGACACCCTAACAATTTATATACATATAACAGTAATTCGCAATTTGCGTCATCGGCTAATTGTACGATTAAATCGATTAAATTGAAATGTAATATTTACAAAATTTAAATAATAAATAAAATCTTGTAATTTACCTCAGTATATTATATCTTTCGTACATTTATGTTTAATCAATCGCGTATGTAGTATTGTTTCTATAGTAACCGAGTAATCATGGCTGTTTTCTAGAAGTGAATTCAAACGCAAAGCGTGTTACTAATATTGAAGTGTTTTTGGAATAAATTAAATTACACGATATTGAGTTAATCTAAATGAAAAATGGTCGGTATACCGTGCTCTTGTGCTAACGAAAAGCTTTCGGATTACGAGGACGACAAATTGTCCGCGCTTGGTCCGCGTACAAACGATGTTTATCGAACCTACAATCTTCCATCAAGATTCATATATCCAAGTGAGTTGTTTGGAATATACTGGATACTGATATTTGTTATATGATATTTCATCTCGAGTTAAATTCTCTAGCAAAATAAGATAATTGAAAAAAACATTCAGTATACAAATGTGTAGAAACAACTGAATTTCGTTTTTCTCGGACGTAATTCAATGCGATTTACGTATTACCGCTTTCAAACTCAATATTGCAAATTCAACTGCGTAATACGATGACCCGCTGGCTCTTTTTTCAATTATACTGCTACGTAAATCTGATATTTTTTTTTCATGCTTTTTAGATATCTTACGGATACATTTTTAAAGTTTCCTGCGTTACCTATATAAACATAATAAAAGAATAAAAAAGCTGCGCATAAATATCATAAATGAATTACATTAAAACACGACAATGTGTCATGTAATATAAACGCAAAAAATAACTTTATTAAAATTTTATTAAATAAATGTATGAGAAACAACAAGCTGAGTTGCCAAAGGCAAGATTATTTTTTAATATAAATAATAGATAAAATTAGTTGCAGATACAAAAGAGATAATACATTGCTTAACTGTATATTCTGGTTCAGAAGTCGCAAGTAGTTATAGCATGATAATGTTCAGCTATTAATAAGCTGGCGAAGCCGATCACTGCACTCGTCGAATCTTATCTGCCCACAAGCATTTTTATGTAATGAACCCTTTGCAAGTAACTCGTCGCAAATCGTATAATGTGGACCGAGCGGCGCCTCAATTTTTTATCGTCGCATGTTGTATAAAGTGTGAGATTCTGATACAGTCTTGTTATTCGTCACTGATAATTTCTCGTCGTTTTCCGGTATGCAATCGGCTGTTTGCAGTAGAAAATAAACGATTTTCAATCATTAATTTATATAACATTGAAAATTTTTTGGAGAAACATTTCTGCTAGAATATTTTTAATATGGTTTTTATTTTTATTATTTTATTTAATTAAATTTGATGGTATATTTTAGGTTTAGGTTTTATGAATGTGTTTTCAATCCGCGAATAATCGACATACAATTTAAATAACTAGAAGATATATTTAAAATTTATATATAAATTTATTCATAAATATTATTAGGTTTAAAAATATTATATCAAATTTTAGATCGTATTTGGCTTTTTTTATTTGATTCATTTTTTATTATTAAACTTATCATAGTGCGGTAAATTATCATATTATTTTATAAAAATGTTATTTTAAGTTTATTATTTTTTTAATCATTAAAATGTGATTTTATACATATACACGCACAAACGCATATACATGTGCACAATAGGTGTTCAACATATTCTCGTACCTGCAGTTACAATTAAAGGACATACTGATTTAAATAATACGAGAAATATTTATGTATATATTATGTTATTGATCATATTTAATTTCAAAAAGCTATTTAAATTCTATTCATGTAGTAAAGCTTGCTTATAGTCGGAAATTAATTGACACAGTTGAAAAATGTTAAATTTTCACATATCCTAAGTCCTAAACGGTCTAATCAAATTTTTGTGTTAATTTAATATAAGATCAATGTAGTAGGAAGTAATACAAATATTATCTAAAAAATTAACACAAAAACGTGAAACTGATGCAATTTACACAAAGTAATCATATTTTTTCATAAAAATTAATACTAGACATAATTTATACCATGTTAACTTGACATATTTCAATAAATTTAACATTGCAATATATTAAATGAACACATTTTATTCATTTATTTTAGAATTTATCTTTTAAAAGACATTATTTTTATGTATTTTTATTTATTTATTTACTCATAAATTGTGTTATTTCAACACTAAAAATATTGAATATTAATTTAAAATGTTTAAATAACAATTACATTATGTTAAATCACATTGTGTTGAATTAATATTCCGATATATATTAACAATTCAACACAAAATTTTAACGAAGACTTGTGGACCGTCTCTAACAAATACGAAATGTATTTTATCAAAGTAAAATAAAAAACGA